CTTCCCCACACACACATACACACACTCACATGCAGACATCCAGAGACTGAGGCATGCCAAGCGTGCCAGTGTGGGGAAAAGAACCCCATGAGTTCTGTCTGCAGCTATGTTGTTTGCAACAAGGGCACGTGCCATCTCTCAAGTCTGCACACTCCAGGAGTGAAGCCAGTGGTGCTAAAAGGGTGCGGACAAGAGCCAGGACCTGAGCTGCTCCCAGCCCTCTGGAGCCATCGCACTTTGTGTCCTTAGACATTGGCCAAGGCCAGCATGGCCCCTGGTTTGATGACAGGGTAGAAAAATATAAATGAATGGCTGGATTTCCCCCCATTGCTGGGAAACCAGCATTACAGAGACACGAAAGCACGGGTACACCCAGGACGAAGGTCACAGAGAGGGTTTTCAGAGCCCAGTATCTTTGTTTGTGTTTATTGTTGCTAAAAATAAAAGCAAGAAGTTAAACATGAGGAGGCAAAACGATTTCCTCAGGCCAAAGTGTCTAGATGTGGGGCTACTTTCCCATAACATTGCATTCTCCTTGTTAAATATTTAAAACGTAGACACGAGACAGATGGAGTGAGGTGTCCACACCCATGAGAACGTGTGTGTGACGGTATGGTCATATATTAATGTATGTGACTACACTCGGTTAATGTTTATCTAGGAATAAACGAAACAGCCTACAGAACATTAACAACCCATCACTGATTACACAATGCAGTGTCCTCTCAGCAAAAGAAGTGGGTGACTGCAGTGAAGGCAGACAGTAACCTTTCCTGGCAGTTCCAGCCAGTGCTGCCCATAGCATGGGGCACCATGACTGTGAGAAGAATTACCTCCTTCAGGATTGCTGCTGCTCTCTCTGTCTCTGTACCAAAACTTTCCATTTCTCTCGCGCTTTCTCCTTGGTTCAATCTGCTCCTTGCTGACCATCCCCACCTTGGGGCCAGCACCAGCTCTGTGCCTCCATGCAGGGCATCTTTTGTACCAGGTGGTGGGCACAGCGTGGTCATGGGAAATGAAGGCCTGCTCCCTGCTTGGGGAATTGCTGCCACAGATGGCAGGCAAGAAACACAGGGGCTCCTCATGTGTCTTGTTTTGCAACTGGCCCATCATGCCTCGGGGCTCCAGGACAGGTTGTCTAAGTGCTCACATCCTCCGGGAATCCACACACCCTGTGAACAGGATGCCATTGATCTCAACGCTCAGAAACTGCTGTCATCTTCCCTCACAGAGACGCAGAGCCGTCAGGAGAGGCCTGATGGGCACAGTTCCTGCTATTCCCCCAGACATGTCCCGGGAAAGGGGTCAATCAGGTCCCAAGCCAAAGACATGGGTGTCATCATCACCTGCTTAATTCCAGATTTGTGGCAGGTCCCATGCATTTGGCAAACGTGTATGATCTGAATGCATAGCGAAGTTTAATAACCACTGGCCCGGGGAAGACTCTAACGTAAGAGGTAGACGCTGAAAGCAAAACTCTTAAACATTTAACATCCCAGAGCCTCCTGGAACGCTGGCAAAAGCTACAAACCATTCTCGGAATTATTCCTTTACAAAGGTGCTTAAGCTCTAATTTATATTTTAAAGTACACCAGTTATCATTAACTATGTAATTATATCTTAATATACAGTACTATGTTTCACTGTGCTATTTTGGGCATCCCGTAGAGATGACATTTGGGGTCCTGGTCTAAGGAAAAACAAGCTCACAGTTTGGATGTTCACTGTCAGGGGGAAGGTTTTTAAACCTAAACTCCTGGAGTTATTCCCCAAGTCATCCAGAAAAGTATTAGTCCATTCTCACACTGCGATAAAGATGCTACCAGAGACTGGGTAATTTAGAAAGGAAAGAGGTTTAATTGACTCAGTTGTGCATGGCTGGGGAAGCCACAGGAAACTTACAATCATGTGGAAGTCCAAGGGGAAACAGGCACCTTCTTCCCAAAGCCCTGCCTGGCTGCCCAGGAGGCTGTGACCAGGAGCAGACGCAGTCACAGCCACCCAGTCCCAGCCCACAGATGGCAGCAGCAATGTGAGAGGCAGGGTACATACCCAGCACCTGCCAGCCCTGCCAGGCCCCGCACTAAGGGAGAGGTGGCTCAGATGAGCTCAAGATGCTGCTCAACACTGGGCTGCAAAGAACCTGAACCGGAACTTGTAAGAAAGGACCTGCCCAGATCTTGAAGGCAAGGGAGGGCCAGGGGCCTCTGCACAAGCACCAGAGGCCCCTCCAGAGCAGGGGAAGAAGGAAGCCATGGCCTAGAAAGATAGGGCTGGTGGCCACAGAAGCAGGGAGGCAGTGGTGAGGACTCCTGGCAGCCACACCAGCTGGGAGCCACAGTCCACCCCGGACAGACACATGGAGTGTCGAACGAGCTGGAGCCGCCAGGGCAGGAGGGCTGGAAGTCTGGGTGTGGACAGCTAGCGGCCCTCCTGGCACCTGGCAGCCACCCCAAGCTGGGTCTCTGAAGTCGGGGCTGTGCTCTGGGGAGCCTGTGGGTTCAGGGGATTATGCAGCTCTGAAGCCTGAGAGGGAGGCCTGCGTAGACACCAGCGCTGGGGCTCTGGGCTCAGGACTGTGGCCCGTGGGGGTGGCTGGGGTCCTTCAGCGCTTGCCCAGCCCTTGATTCCCCTCTTTCAACAGCTGCAGGGGAGAATGCCTGCTTCTCTTTGGGCAAAGATGCTGCCTCTGCCTGGGACAGTAGCCAGCAGCCCACCCAGCCCAGGGCAGTGCGCTGAGCAGTGTGACTGACAGGACCCTTCCCATACGCACATAGGCACGCTGCCCCAGGGAACGTGGGTGCACAGGTCTGTGTGAGGGAGGAGGAGGCTCAAGACCTCTACAAAGCAACACTTGAAAAACATCCCATCAACCAGGCTCTGTCCTGTGAAGCAGGAGGAAGAAAACCACAGAGGAAAGGCGCTCAGCTCTTCTGCAGAACCCCATTCAGGCTTCCTGGCCACTGTGCCTGGAGACACCCTGGGCCACCTGGGTCTGGAGGCAGCTGAGGGCCGGCGGGATCCCTGGGAGCTACTGCACACTCCTGTCACCACCCCGGGATGCCCCCACCCCTGCAGAGCATCTCCAGGCTTGGCCATTCCTCCAGTCCTGAACTAAGAAAGCTGAGTGGACCCATTTCCCAAGCCAGCCAGTCACAGCAGGCCCCAGGCCAGCTCCACACATGGACCCTGCCAGCTGTGCAAGGTGTGTTGTCACACATGAGGGAGACATGCTTGGCCTCCCTGCCCCTCGACCTCCTCACCTGGGAAGTGAGAATGGCGATGGTCACTGCTGTGCCCCAGGTGCTGGGCAGGTTTAAACAGGGAGTCCACAAAACATCACGCACCTGGCCAAGGCTCCTAGGATGTGGCTTTGTGTGTAGGTGGTGGTGGAGGCTGCTGCTATGGCAACTCCACCCTCAGGAGCCCTCCCTCCTGAAGCTCTGTGGCCAGGTCAGCCTCAGCACGCCAGGCTCCCTCCACACCCCAGGGCCTGCCTGTCCTCAGATCACATCGTGTTCGATGCAAGGGCTTCAGTCACCACCTTGAAACAGGTGATCCACAAATCCACTTCTCAAAGCTGAGCCTCTGGCTGAGCGCCACACCAATCATCCCTTCCTCACTTCCATGAAAGAGAATCTTATCATTGATTTCTGGCAAATTCTCATTTGCTGTCCAGGAACAAGCTCAGCACTGGCAGGAGGCTCAGTGGCCTGTGGAGTGTGCGAAAGCTCTGTAGGCAATCGCCAAGGCTCCGTGGCACGCCTCACGTGTGCAGTGACCCTGGGCAGGTGTGCTGTCCCCAGCCACGTGCCTCAGAGTCTGAGAGTTGTGAGTGAGCATGTAAAGTCCCAAGCATGCTATCAGGCAGGACAGCTGCTCCGCGAGTAAAAACTAAACATCAAAATCACCTTTAAAAATGGAACCAAAGTGAGTTCATTTTCCAGTGCCCTAGAAAGGGGTTATATCCAGGGTCTGCTGAGTTACAAAACGTTTCTTCTTTTATGAGCAAAGGTTACAAAGGTTTGCTTCTTTTATAAGCAAATGAAGACCTTTTATACATAATATATATGTATATATATTACGTATGTATATATATACAAGATTTAGTAGTTCTACCCTTTCTGTGCACCAAAACTTTTAATATATAAATACATATTTGTATAAATGCTATTCGAATTTTTTTATTGTACGTTAGGTTCTGGGGAAGATGTGCAGATCATGCAGGATTGTTGCATAGGTACATACATGGCAAGGTGGTTTGCTGCCTTCATCCCCCGTCACTTATATCTGGTATTTCTCCCCTCATTATCCCTCCCCACCCTCCCCACACCCAAAGGCCCTCCCCTAGCCCCCACTACTGTCCACACTGTGTGATGCTCCCCTCCCTGTGTCCACATGTTCTAACTGTTCAGCACCCGCCTATGAGTGACAACATGCAGTGTTTGGTTTTCTGTTTGTGTCAGTTTGCTGAGAATGATGGTTTCCAGATTCATCCATGCCCTATGAAGGACACAAACTCATTTTTTATGGCTTCATAGTATTCCATGGTGTATATATGCCATATTTTCTTTAGCCAGTCTATCTTTGATGGACATTTGGGTTGGTTCCAGGTCTTTGCTATTGTAAACAGTGCTGTAATGAACATACGTGTGCATGTGTCTTTATAATAGAACAATTTATAATTCTTTGGGTTTATATCCTGTAATGGGATTGCTGGGTCAAATGGTATTTCTATTTCTAGGTCTTTGAGGAATCCTCACACTGTCTTCCACAATGGTTGCACTAATGTACACTCCCACCAACAGTGTGAAAACGTTCCTATTTCTCCACATCCTTCTCCAGCATCTGTTGTCTCCGGATTTTTTAATAGCCATTCTAACTGGTGTGAGATGGTATCTCAGTGTGGTTTTGATTTACATTTCTCTAATGACCAGTGATGATGAGCATTTTACATATGTTTCTTGGCCTCATAGATGTCTTATTTTGTAAAGTGTCTGAAAAACATGGAACACCTGATGAATGTGCGTTCATCCTTGCACAGGGGCCATGCTAATCTTCCCTGCATCATTCCAATTTTAGTATATGTGCTGCCGAAGTGAGCACTAGAATTTTTGATATGCAGAAAGAAGTAGCTACTTATATACAATTATTGCCAATCAGAACATAATGACAATTTAAAGAGAATTGAACACATTATTTTTAATGATAGTTACTGAAGGCTGACTTTAAACACATTTGGGCTATTAAAATGTTAAGTTTAGACCCATTTATTTGCGAGCATTGGAAGAATTTATTTATGAAAATGTGTTTGTATTGTATGCCTTTGAAAACGTTTTGAGGTAGTTGGCAAAAAGTAGACAATGCAAATGGGAATTCAGAAGGGAATGGGTAAGGGAAATATGAGAGAAACTGGCTTTTTAAAAAAGACAAAATCAACATAGTCCTTGCAATCATAAATAAAATTTGGCTCTGAGCTCCCTCACAGCCAAGGCAAAAATGTAAACATGGTTTATCAAAAAACTTTTAGTTTCTATTTCTCAGGAAAATAAAATATGTTCTTAACATTAATTTTCAAGAGAAATTTTTCACATGGTACAAATATAGGGGCATTAGGTACTTCAATAAAGCACAATTTTCTCAACAACCATCTTAAGGTAAATGAAAAACTTGAACTTACATTACTGTGCTTGAAGAAAACTGCTAGTAAAGTTCAGGAAATAATATTCAAGGACAACCATTGAAAGGAGTTCCAGACTAGGTGTGATCACGAATGTTGTGTCACCTTGGTGGGCCATTGTGCCCAGCTGTTTGGTCAACCACCAGTCTAGCTGCCCCTGTGCAGGTGTTTTAAGATGTCATCGACGACTACAATCGATTGACTTTGGGTAGAGCAGGTTCCCGGCCATATGCAGGTAGGGCTTGTCCAGTCATTCACAGGAGTAAAACCTAAGGAAAAGTAAAACTGAGGTTTCCTCGAGGAGTTCTGCCTCAAAAACATAGCACAGAAGCCCAGCCTGACTTCCAGCCTGCCTTGCAGATTTCAGATCTGCCAGCCCCCACTACCACATGAGCCAATTGTGAAAAACAAATCCCTTGAATTATGCATCCAGTTGGTTCTGTTTCTCTGGAGAACCCTGACCGGTAGGCTGGTTGTTCAGGGATTCAGCTTCCAAAAGACCAAGGCACAGGATGCCTGGAGGGGTGATGGAGGCACCTCTGTCAGCGCAAGCAGCTCTCCCTGAGCACCTTGCCTCACCGCTCAGCCTTCAGCAGAAGCCACCAACAGGCAAGCTTTGAGGGGCTGGGGTTCTAATCGGGCTACACACCTGCACATGTCAGCGACCGGAAGCCAAAGGATCATGCAAGTGAAAAGCGGATGGGTGGCCACCGCCCCACTCTCCACCCCTGGGGGGTGACCAGCAAGAACCCCAAACCCTGGGATGCAGTCAGGGTGCTCCGGGAGGCAGCTGTGGGCTAGTCCCAGCGCCAGTACGAGAACGGACCCCACTGATGCCGTCCGCACCTGGATGACTTTCAGAGTGGGTGCAGTCATCCGTGCTGGGCGTGAACGGCATTTTCCCACATCATCACCCAGAAAGAATTCCCTCCAATACATACTTCTGGGCAGCCAAACAAGCTGACCTGTTGCCATGATTTATCTTTGAACAACTACCGGCTTCCAAAGTCAACTTGGGGCCAGGACAGCCCTGTGGTCACTGGGGCAGGCAGCTATCTGGACTGCCCAGAACCCGTGCCGCCATGGGCTTTACGTTTAGTAAATATTTTCAACATCATCTCCTATTCCTGTGGTCAGAATAGAGAGTAGACAAAGCGAATTCTTCTAAAAAGCGTAAAACTGAATCACGTGATTTTAGCCCAAGGCATTATTGATTTGCTTTCAACTCATCAGAGCCGGTTCAACGCAGACCTGGCTGATCTTTCAAACAGCCCAAATCCATGAGCGGAGTTGTACCCCAGCACCAAGCATGCCGACAGGGCCCCAGCGCTGCCAGGGCTTGTGTTCGCTGCAGCTGAGACGTGAGTGGATTTACCATGAGGAGGTGGTAACAACCTTCTCTCCCCCACACACTCCTCCAATTATCCCTTCTCATGGCCTGATTACCATGGGAACTGAGGGCTCCCTCAGGGAAACTGCCGGCCTTTCTGTAGTTAGCATTCAGACACACGACCCAGGAGAGGGATACAGACAGAATGTGAAAGGGGAGAAGGAAGCAGGAGGGATCCTGGAGAGCCCGTCAGACAGGCGATGAGCCCAGACCCTGAAAAGAGCAGTGCCGCCCCAGGTCAGAGGATATGGGGACTGTCCCAGAGCTGTCCAGGAGGTGTGCATATAGGGAACGTGCGTGCATGCACACGCACGCATACACAATGTATGCATACAGGTATACCCACATACACAATGCACACATGCCAACACACCTACACACAAATGCACATATGTATACACACATGCCCACACATATGAACACACCTACACACATATGCACACACCTACACATAATGCACACACACACCTACACATGCACAAACCAACATGCATGCACACATGCACATGCACAATCTATACACACGCACACACCTTCACACACATGCATATACACAAATCCACACACACATGCATATACACACATACATGCACACACCTACACATGTGCACACCTACACATGCACACGCCTTCACACACTTGCACACATCTACACATGCAGGCACACATGTGCACACCTTCACATACACCTTCACATGCACACATGCTCCCACCTTCACATGCACACACCTTCACATGCATGCACACACGTACACATGCATGCACACATGTGCACACCTACACATGGACACACATGTACATGCACACATGCATACACCTACATGTGCACACACACGCACATGCACACATATGCACACACCATCACACAAATGTGCACATCTACACACACGTGCACACCTACACATTCACACACATGCATATGAGCAAATCTATACACACATGTAGATACATACATGCACACACCTACACATCTAAGCACATGCACACACATACACATGCACACACACCTTTGCACACATGAACATGCACAATCACACATATGCAAATACACAAACCTACAAGTACATGCACACATCTACATGCACACGCCCACAGACATGCACATGCACATACACACACATGGCTGTGTGTGAACTGCAAGAACTGTTTTTCTAACATCGAAACCTTGGAGTTCAAGAAGCCCAAGCAGCCGCCATGGCGTCCTCGTCCCTGGGAGCCTCTCTGCATTTTGGAAGAGATGGACGAGGCCCGGTACTGTGCAGTGCAAAAACACCAGTCAGCAGAATACACTAGGAGGGCTCACACCTCCGCGGAAAGTAGGCCCCAGAGCAGCAGGGCCTACAGAGCAGCTGAATCCCTAGGCAGGGGCGTGGCTTGGACACAGAGGCCCATGGCAGTGGCCCTGCTCTAATGGCAGAGATTCTGGGGGATCACAGGGAATGTGGCCTCCTTGCCGAACATGTCAGCATTGGGAACGTGGAAAGGAATTGATGCAAGCTCCTCTCCTCACCTGCAAGGGGTGTGGAGGTCCTGGAGCTCTGTGACTTTTAAGGAATAACGGGAGGAAAAGTGGGAGCTGAAGTCAGCAGAGAAGGAGGAGCCGGTGAGGCTGGGAGGAGCCAGAGGCTCTGCTGAGCAACACGAGCAGGGAAGATGGACACAGCTGTGCAGGCCTCACTCCTGCAAGGTGAGGCGGGTGCCTGGAAGGGGAGGGGCAGGCAGTGTAAGAGCCAGTGGGAGGCAAGAGGGGAACAGGGCCTACAGCCTTCAGATGGTGGCAAGGGTCCCAGAAGCCACCTCCTCAGCTACAGGGCACTAGGCCTCCAAAAGGAGCTCCCAAAGCTGTTTCTAGATCAGTATCTGGAGCAGGGCAGGCATGCAAACAAGGAAACCTGATGTCAGATGCAGGATAGCTACGAGGAGGAAAAGCTGCCACAAAGGAAACACAAAAATGTTTCCTACAAGAGGCGTGAGTGAGCGGAAATCAGCCTCAGGAAGGACCCATTGTTAGTTAAGACCGATGAAGTCATAAAAGTCAACCCGATGTGATGTCTGTGCTAGCTGAGTCATAGCCTCACCTGGAATATGGCCATGTCCTCATCCGCAGAACCTGGGATTCTGTGACCTGTGAGGCAAAAGGGACTTTGCAAATGGGATTACGTTAAGAACCTTGAGACAGGAAATTATCCCGGATTACCCTGGGCCCAGTGTAATCACCAGGTTCCCTGTAGAGGGAGGCGGCAGAGAGAAGACCCCAAGGTGGCAGAAGCGGAGGCTGAGACCACAGGCTTTGGAGACAACAGGCAGGGCCAGAGCACCCTGACAGCCCCTGGAAGCTGGAAGACAAAGACACACACGCTGCTATGGGGCCACCAGCAGGAACCAGCCTGCCAGCACCTGGACTTGGCCTAGTGAGACCAAGGCTGGAGCTGTGCCCACCAGAACTGTAGGATAATATGTCCATGCTGTTTTAACCCAATAAGTCTGTGGTGACTTGTTACAGCATCAACAGAGATTCTCGGGGATCACAGGGAATGCGGCCTCCTTGCCGAACATGTCAGCGTTGCGAACGTGGGTCCTCACCAGTTTATTTTACTGAACATTTAAAAAGCCTCTAATGAATATGTCAGTCCACATTCCACCTTGGTCACCTAGTGTGACTTTTTCTATAAGATTTTATTCTTTATAACTACACATTTTTCTATTGCAAAGGTTTTTAGAAACCTAAGTCATAAAATTCAGAAAGACTTAGTTCCTTCCTCATCCTTTAATCTCTGGTACGTTATCCCAGAGATAAATCTCCATGCACACAGGGTCCCTGTCCTTCACCATTAAAAGGCAGAACTACTGGCAAAACAAAACTGGTGGTTCGTTATTCCAGCTTCCAGGGAGAAGGCAAAACAGCCTGGGCTGGGCTCATTCACCTCTGCACACAGCAGACGCAGTCCCAAAGCCTCCAGAGAAGTGTGCGCATGCTCCCTGTCTCGGTGGGTGGTTCTTCTCTCTTGCACTTTGGAGGGTGCATGGGTCTTCTGG